TAGTGCATCTCCAACGTCTCTGTCTTGATATTGCATTCTAAAACCTCCACACACTTTCCTGACTTCATCAGTAAGCTGCTCGATTGTCTCTGGGATGCCATTAGGCAGAACTAGCTTCCTGGAGTCATCGGGATTCACAATAATTCTCAACTTGGCTGGCGTTTTCACGGTCATGTCAGGCAGCCCCAAAGGAACTAGAACAAACAAGAACATAAACAACTATTAGTAATAGTGCAATGATACACTGAAAGCAAACGTCTCTCTTACAATAGTGACATGCCTGGAATGACAGAGCAAATGATTGCCTAGATATATTATCACTTGAGATTAGAGTAGAGTAAGTCTCCATTTTGGGTTTGTCATTCCTTTTTAAACGTACATGAAAACTACATACAGTTCATTTTGGAACTTACCAAATCAGCATAAATTGTGACCTTCAGCGGAAACAGCAAACCAGTAAACACAAAGGAAATACATAAATAAGGTGTATTTAAACGATGTTAACCCAGCATAAAGCACACACCCTCAAAGCATGGTTAACAAGACGGGCAGCGGGTTGTTTGTTTCCCCCCGTCCCCACTGTTTACAGCCCACTCTCCGGAGCGGCGTGGTCCGAGTGCGGGTTTCTGCAGAGCAGAGATACACCTTCAGCCACATAACTATAGCGGTCCCGGAGCTTTAATAACGGCTCGCCAAAAGTATAAACATCTCTAACCAACACACTCTCACTCCCTAAGCGTCCAGGAGCGACGCTTGGTCAGGGTCCCTAAGCGTCCAGGAGCGACGCTTGGTCAGGGTCCTGAGCGTCCAGGAGCGACGCTTGGTCAGGGTCCTAAGCGTGCAGGAGCGACGCTTGGTCAGGGTCCCGTGGCGTGCAGGAGTGACGCTTGGTCAGGGTCCTGAGCGTCCAGGAGCGACGCTTGGTCAGGGTCCCGAGGCGTGCAGTTGGGACGCTCCGAGGCTCCTTCAGCTTCATAAAGGGACGCAAAGAGCTTTCAACTGATTGCAATGTATTCCCATCGGAGGCGGGATTTTACGCTCAGGGAAGCACGGCATTCGTTTGTGTCGGAGGCTGTTAAAGGCAATGTGAGCGTCCATTCCCATTGGATAACGGAGAATTGTACACCCGGAAGTAAGTATTCCCCTTACTGTCGATTGATTTGACAGAGATATCTCCACTACTCAACAACTCAGAAACACCAGATTATCTTGTTAATTAAACGACATTGATAGGTTTTAGTGTGCAATGCTTTTGTCACGTTTTCCCCTTCGATTCTGAGAAACAAGGATTGTGGGTAATGTAGTGTCTTCGGCCATCCAAAACTCATAGAGAACGACTTGTTTCTCAGAATTGAAGGGGAGAACGTGACAAAAGCATTGTACACTAAAACCTATCAATGGACCCTGACCAAGCGTCGCTCCTGGACGTTTATGGAGTGAGAGTGTGTTGCTCTAACGCTGGCTGGGGTCTGGCTGTTAGTGTATTTAATATGCTGCAGTGTTTTTTATGAGCGGAACACGTATTTTAAATGCATTTTTTTTAATGAAGACATGCGATGCTGATGAAGTTAGCGTTGTACCATGTGCTCTGTTTAGCCCCCGACGGCCCCAGCCCCTGTTCATAAACGAGCTTGAATTAAAGGGCCCATGTCATGGCCATTTCCACTGATCATAATTACATTGTTGAGGTATACTAAAATAGATTTATACTGTGCAATTTTCCAAACTCACATTGGTTTCGCATACAGCATCTCTGTCAAGCATGTGTATTCAGCAGTATTCACTTTCTCCACTAAACGACTCGTTGGAGCTCTTGCCCCCCCCTCCCTGTGAGCCTAGTGTGCTCCGATTGGTCAGCTCGGCCACTCGTTCTGATTAGTCAACCACCAGAGAGGCTGCGCCCATGTCTAACAGTGCTTTTCCCGGCTGCTCTCAGCATAACATCAGTCTTATCATGGCGTCGGCACAGCCGTATATTTTATATACATATATATTTTTAACTGTTGTTATAGAAGAGTGTGACGGCCCCAGGGCCTTTGTCTTACGATGGGGTGGAGCTGAAGAGGCTAATCAGCACGATCACGGACACCTCCGGACACTACGGCCCCAGTCTCTCTCCAAAGCGGCTGCAGGAAGACTAACTCTGCGATCCTCTCAACCACCTATCTCTGCATTTACCACAATAAATGTGCCGTGGTTTTGTAAACTCGTGTATGTCTCCTTGTCTTTCCGTTGTGGCCTACGAGCCGCTCATAACAAAGAGTAAGTTATTTTTACCCGTTATAAACTACTACTGTTTGATGAGAAATCAAATCATGGTTTGCTATATATGAATTCAGGGAAGAAAGGATAGGCCTACTAAGTATTTCCATTAAACTTTATTTTTAGAAATGTACAAAATGAACATAAATATACATATATACACGGTATATCATCCATTCCTCCTCCTTGCATCTTGCCTGCGCACAGTCGGTGCGGTGCCTTTTAGCACGACGCCTCAGTAGTAGTAGAAGTGCCTTTTAGCACGTCATGGATTGTCCGCCAGGATCTGGCTGGACGAAATCAAATGCAAATCACAAAATATTAGAGAAACTTAGTTGTTTTAGATTCGTTAGTAGTAGTTGTGTAATGAACAGCTTGCCTGCTAATATGCTAACCTAGCTTTGTTTACCTTGGTAGCTAACACGATATGAACGTTAGCTTGGAGGAAAGGCAACTATAATGCAGTGTAATAAAACTACTATGAACAAAAGCTATTGGTTCATATTAGGCTAGCAATAACGTGTTTATAATTGCAATCGTATACGGGTATTCTGCTACCATACAATGTAACTTGCATGAATACATTGTTTTGCGCTAGCATACAGCTAGCCTCGTTAGCTACATGCAGTATATGTACGGTCACAATGTACGGTAAATCACAGTACAGTATACTGTATGAGTATTCCGTGTGTGTGAATGCAGACATTCTCCTGCTATGAGATACATGTATGCAAGGCCATCTGCTGATATTAGAGTTGATATATGGAAACTCTAGCAACTTAGTTAGCACAGTTAGCACTGTGTCAATGGCTTAGCAGTCCAACACAGTTTACACATTTAAACAGTCTTGTTTGATAAATACACAAATAACAATGCAAACTTACAGGTTGTATACCCAGATCTTCCCCTGCTCCAAACGGTCCAAACAAGCTGTGCATATCCGGCCTCAAACTGGGCAATGTTTTGGAAGCTTTCGTCTGTGAAATGCCGGTTCTTCGAACCTCTGGAGGAGGAACACGCCGCTGCTGGTGTGGCCATAGCTCTTCGGGATTGGTCCATTTCGTTCCGGGTACCGCATGACATCAGGCGGTACCCGGAAGAATCAAATGGGCAGTGACGTATCTCCAACGAGGCGTTTTGGGGAGGTATTTTCTGTGTTAGAGTTTTACTCGCTACAGGGTGTACTTTGAGGGTTTTGACTCTGCACACCGTTTACATGCATAAAAACCTTCATAACACACAAGGGGACGGGTAATAACCGGAAAAGCATGACATGGGAGCTTTAAACACTCTCTCGTTTTACTCCAAAGGCCCATGCCACTCAGTTATATGCATTTCAGTCACCAATGTGTGTGTGTGTGTGTATGTGTGTGTGTGTGTGTGTGTGTGTGTGTGTGTGTGTGTGTGTGTGTGTGTGTGTGTGTGTGTGTGTGTGTGTGTGTGTGTGTGTCGGAGCACACCAGCCCGGGCCTTGATCAGACCACACTCAGGCACAGAGCAGACTGGCACGGTTTGCTCGTCAACAGGTATATATATATATATACATAAATAAATGACGTTCGCAACAACTCAACCTTTTCACTAGTCAGTGCGCCCCATGCATGATACATTTATGAAGATGACCTGGTTAAACTGCTTAAAAACTAGCTAACACGTGGCTAAACTTGCTAACCCATAGCCACATACAAATACCTCATGTGAAACCAATATAACATTTGCAACTATTTAAACTTTTCACTAGTCAAACCGACACCACAAAGAATCGCCACTTGCCTGTCAGCCTTCCATCTGTGCACAAACTTATCTCGTGCCCTCATTGGTCATGTGCGCGTTCGTGTGTGTTGGAGGAGGGGCTCTGTAAGGAAGTGGCAGAGTTTTTCCGGCTGTGGCTTTTCACATTCTAGCGCACTCGAGCTGGTGTCTCCAAAATTACCTACCCCACCTTTAATTAGACCACTTAAAAAAAGTATTTTGATTAAATGACACAGTCGTTACACTTTTTCCAGTGTTCCAGATCCATGGTGGTCTTTTAGTAGTCCAATGGGCGTTTTTGTTGTACAAGGTATTCTTTTAACAATGCTGCTGTAATCTGAAGAATTGGTTGTAATGGTCAGACATGATCTTGGTTCCATATACTGGTTTCTTTCTTTTCTAAAATGATACAAATAATCAGCTTGTAATGGTCTGAGCTGATGTCATCATGGCTTGAGATGGTTACGCATCTTCAAGTAGTCCAAACTACTTTTTTAATGGTAGAACTGAATGACTCTTGGATCATGAACTGGTTTCTTGATGCTATAACTTGGACCAAAATGCTCTTTAAATGGTCCAATATGATGTTATTGTGGCCTGAATGGGTTTCTTCATGAATGTATAGTCCAACAACCCTTTAGTTCTGAGACAATCCAAGTTGCTTTGGATTTTAAATATGAAGGACAGACCATCTGTTTCAATGTATTTCTTTATTTAGAGAAAGGGGCATGGTACTATCAGATCATTTCCTTCTCCCTGCTCCTTTTCGGGTCAGTGTGTTTATAGAGACATGATTTGTAAATATTTGTTGAACGGAACCAATAACAATTAAATGAAATGAATGTGTTGTCCTGGTTGGCCACCACTCTTGTACCAATAAGCCTGATTCCTCACCCTTATTGAATGCTTATATATAAATGTCTCTCCTTCCTCCATCAGAGCCGTGAACCTCTTTCCCAACCGGGTCATCGGGTGCATCGGGCAACATGTCGGAGAACCCGTCGAGGAAATCAACAAAATCCTGGGACTCCCGTTTCCTGGTGAGCAGCGCCCACGATCAGCTGATCACGGAGAAAACGACTTCTTCGCCGGACTCGTGGAGGAAGGAGGAGGAGGAGGAGGAGGAAGAAGAAGAAGAAGAAGATAGAGATAGTGGAAGTGATTAAAAAACTGGACGAACTGACTGTTGATGAACTGATATAAGAACACATGATCACACACTAAAATATGAAGTGTTGGACTGTTAAAAGCTTTTATAAATTCCCTGTCAGACTTGTAATTTATTCACTCTGATCAGATCGATCCTGATTTACACCAACATCTCTTTGTGTATTTAGAAAACTTACATATTCTTTGTTAAATAAAACACATTTTTCTTTGCTTTTCTTTTGGTATCAGTACTAAAAAGCAGGTATTATTACATCAGTGTTCATTTTGGCAGCTGTTTTTGATTTAGTCTTTAGACGAAAATGGTTATTAGTTTTAGTCACATTTTAGTCATTCCTATCCTTCGTAGTTTTAGTCTAGTTTTAATCGACGAAAACTCAAAACGTTTTAGTCTACTTTTAGTCGATGAAAAATTACATTATAGTCAACTTTTAGTCAAAATGTTTCTCTCTTTAAACTAATTCAGTTAGGCAAATACAGGTATCTGAAATTGTAATCAAGGTGGCAGCATCAAGTGTTGAAATTCGTAAAGCAACATTTTATTCTCTTAACACTTTACTTGTGTAATATATAGGGATGGGTATCGCTAAGGTTTTTAACGGTACTACTACTCTTATCGAAACTGCTTATCGATCCGGTACTTTAACGGTATTCTTGTAGGTACTTTTTGTTATTTTTTAAAGGGAAAAACTAAACAAATTGTTAACCAAATTAACATTGCTTTATTTACATGTGAAATAAATAAATAAAATATGTATAGGTTGAGGTACTTGTACTTTACATTTAAATGTTTTGCTACTGTGTACTTCTTCTCCACTACAGTTCAGAGGTACATGGTGTACTTTTACTCCACTACATGTATTTAATACCTTTAGTTACTTCACAGATGTGGATGAATGATGTGAAATATAATCAAGTGTTAAATCAGACTTTAGTTCCACCTGGAGTAAATCCACAAGCTACCCTGCAGTATACAAAGCCATTCAAACTAGCTGCTCCTTTACCAGCTTTGAGAACACTTTCATGATCAATCATTATAACACATATATATATTATTCTGGAATGGACCAATCTGCACAATGACTACTTTTACTGTCGCTACTTTTATACTTTTACTTGAGGAACATTTTGAATGCAGGACTTTTACTGTAACAGAGTATTCATACACTATGGTATTTTTACTTAACTACAAGATCTGAGTACTTCTCCCACCTCTGCGCACCTGATGTGATAACGTTACTCGTAATTGGCGCAACAGAGCTACGAGTTAAGGAAGTCGAAAATTGTGCATTTCTCCGATTGAATATGACGCCTTTTGGCCGGCTGTTTGGACAGACTACTCTACTCGTGTCAACGCGCTTACGCCATAACACTAATGGCAAACAAGCTTTTTCCACATTGAGCCTTGTAGACATGGGCGTAGGAAGCATCCTGAATGTGGGGGGGACATTTTTAACGGGGGGTGTGGGGGCGAAAAAAAATATAGATTTCCTGTATTCTGGTGCATTTTAACAGGTGGTTTGATACTTTTATGTGGCTATACTAGCATGAGGAAAATGATGGGTACATTTTGTAATTTCATCCAGTAGTAAAGAAAGGAAACATATTTGATTATTAATTCAGAGCCGTCTTTGAATTAATTAAAAGCAGTTTAAATGCCCATTTTTTGTACATTTATATACAACAATAAATATTTGTGAGTGCATTGAGAGATATTGTTGTGGAGAGTCATTTATATATAAATCGCAAAATACATTTGTGAATCCTTCTGTGAGCATTTATTAATATTGAGACTGATCTGACTCCATACGGATGTTAAGTTCACCTAGGAATGGTATCATTGACTTAAATGTTCAAATAAATGTTGCTCTTCTGTCTATATTGGTCATATGATGCCCCTTGACTGAAATGTTTCCTGTTCAATATCCCCACTGATTTCCTTCAAATCCTGGGATGAGAGTCCACATCACAATTTACTCTCAACTGTCATTTCCCTTTCATCACTCACCTCAGCAATGGACCTCTCTCCACTGTCCCTGTATTCTGCCTCTGACTCACTCTCAAGTGCCTAGATGTTTTTTTGTTTTTGTTATTTTTTGTTAAGTAATACAAGACAGAATGATATGATGATCTCCGCGCTACAGCTGCTCCGTGCATGCATGCAGTGGCATGTAATATCCAAGGATTAGAGACTGTTGGATGCTGCTGTTTTGAGCATTGCAATACATTTATTTGTATTATGTTTTTTTATGATTAGAGACGGTTGGATGCTGCTGTACTGAGCATTGCAATATATTTATTTTCACTATGTTATTTATTTATGATTATCCTTGGGCTCAGCAAAGATTTGATGTCAGCTGTTGCTGTCTTTTTTTCTATAGTTAATACTGAAATAGAGCCCTGCTGTTTTGTCAGGGCCTTTTCTTTAAATATAATTTTAAAATGTCGATACAGTAGCCCCTTTTTTTAAATGTCTATGCTTAAGTTTTTATAGGTGTTGCTATCTGCTTTGTGTAGCGTGGTTCTACAAGCAAGTCTGTGCATTCATTGGGTGGTATCAGAGAGATACAAGGGTCTGTAAATGCAATGAAAACAATTGGCCACAGCAAATAATTGATATTAAACATGTAATTTTTACTTTTGAATACTTCAGTACAAAGGATGTATTGAATAATTTAAGTGATATGTGTACACATATAAATCATTAGTCAAAACAGGGCTACATTTGATTGAATTATAAAAGGTATAATATGTGGTAAACTGAAGAGCCGTTTGGGAGCCGAAAGAGCCGGCTCTTCTTGGTGAGCCGAGCCAAATGATCCGGCTCACCAAGAAGAGCCGGAATTCCCATCACTATTCCAAACCGCTCCCTAACCACAATACAACACAACACTGTTAACTGATTAACTGCCACCAGCTGATGACTTATTTTCCTCTTCTTTGAAAAAAATGTTCTTATGTCCATGTTGTCTGGGGGAGAAAACATATCAAACCAAGAGATCGTCAGCTTTGATTTTCGCTGTATTAACCATTTCCTGAACATTTGGTGTGTGTGCCTTACCTCCGCTACCGGCATCGCTTCATACAACAGATCTGAGCTGTCCAACTATGACAACACTCCTTGAACATGCGCGCGCTATGTGAGAATCTGCCTTGGTACAAAGTAGCAGTGAAAACATGGTACGGAGTTTCATTGATTTGGGCATTCTCTACAGGTAGCTATAACTGCAAATGGAACAACCTGAAGCTCTCTAACTCAGTATATTAACTGCTGCATTGATTTCCCTCAGGATGAATAGAGTTGTATTTTCTCCTTCTTCTCGTGTCTCTGGTTGTAGCGTGAGTACAGCAGAGCCTCTGAGTTCTTCCTGCAGGGTTACGAAGTTTCCTGTGAGCTGGGAGACGTGGCTCTGCTGCAGAAAGCTCAGGTGAGTTTCTACCAATCACTTCAAGGAGCCAAGGCTTTTATTGTCATCTGAACAACGCTACAGTGTAGATATGTCACTGAAGATCTGAGCTCCGTGTATCCATCATTTCCAAAATGTAGAGTACATGTAAGTAAGAGCAGAGGTGGGAAGTAGTGGAGTACAAATACTTTGTTACTCTACTTAAGTACATGTTTCTGGCATCAGTACTTTACTCCACTACTTATTTTTCTGACGACTTTTTACTTTGACTTCTTACATGTTGAACTCAAATACCTGTACTTTCTACTTCTTACATGTTGAACCCAAATACCTGTACTTTCTACTTCTTACATGTTGAACACAAATACCTGAACTTTCTACTTCTTACATGTTGAACTCAAATACCTGTACTTTCTACTTCTTACATGTTGAACACAAATACCTGAACTTTCTACTTCTTACATGTTGAACTCAAATACCTGTACTTTCTACTTCTTACATGTTGAACACAAATACCTGAACTTTCTACTTCTTACATGTTGAACCCAAATACCTGTACTTTCTACTTCTCACATTTTGAACACAAATACCTGTACTTTCTACTTCTTACATGTTGAACACAAATACCTGTACTTTCTACTTCTTACATGTTGAACACAAATACCTGAACTTTCTACTTCTTACATGTTGAACACAAATACCTGAACTTTCTACTTCTTACATGTTGAACACAAATACCTGAACTTTCTACTTCTTACATGTTGAACGCAAATACCTGTACTTTCTACTTCTCACATTTTCCAAACAGGCTGGTTCCTTTAGTTTGAATGTGTGTTTGGTGGCGTGATCATTATTATTTAGAGTCATTGCGTGCCTATTGATTTGAACACGATCCGTGTATCCATCACTTCCTGGTCTTCTCTAAAGAAGAGGGACCAATGAAAACGTTGTCATGTTGCCGTTGTTCAGCATGGAAACATTCATTAGCTAACAATGACATTATTGTTCTATTAATATAAAGGGAGGTCAGGTACTCTTTAAAACAGCTGCTAGTTATGGGTACTTTTTACTGAAGTACATTTCAAAGCCTCTTTGCTTTTACTTGAGTAAAGAAGTTTAGTCAGTACTTCTACTTTGACCAGAGTATTTTTAAACACGAGTATCTGTACTTCTACTTGAGTAAAGGATGTGTGTACTTGTGCCATGTCTGTATATATCTGACACTTCAAAGAGAAATATTGATATTCTGTTAGATTGAAACGCCTCCATCTTCAAAACTGTTGTTCACCTGCAATCACAAGATACATCTGCAACATTATATATATGTATCTTCTCATTAACATAAATGAACAGTGAAGGTTTTCTGGGTATTAAAGCGTGATAGATATTTTACAAATCTGACATTTCATAGAGACATTATTGATACTCTGTTAGATTGAAACACCACTGGACTGCTTTTGAGGCGTAAAAGCTAAATAAACTCAGAGGGTTACGTCTTAAAATTCCCCAAAAATTGTCAATTAAGGATAAAAATAAATGAATATTATAATTGTGCAGATTACTGATAATTATTCTTTAAAAAAGACACGTTTTATAATTAAAATATGGCATAAAAGGGTCAGAAAAATACAGAATGACACAATGTTGTTTTTTGAAATTCCTAATTCAGAGAAATGTTTTGGTAATTTGATCTCCATATTTTCAAATGATGAAGGCGAACCCTGCTGCTCAGTGCTTAATTAAACAACCTCACACACACACACACACACACACACACACACACACACACACACACACACACACACACACACACACACACACACACACACACACACACACACACACACACACACACACACACACACACACACACACACACACACACTAACACCTTGAGTATTTTTAGCAGTGTGTGTGTGAACCTGCTCACACTGACACTCACACACTCTCAGGGATTCAGGAGTGTGTGAGATGATGTTTTCTACTTTTCTCTTTTTCTGAAAGTAAACATGTTTTACCTCTGCGTGTGTGCACATAAAGACTTCAGTGTGTGTGTGTGTGTGTGTGTGTGTGTATGTATGTATGTATGTATGTATGTATGTATGTATGTATGTATGTGTGTGTGTGTGTGTGTGTGTGTGTGTGTGTGTGTGTGTGTGTATGTGTGTGTGTGTGTGTGTGTGTGTGTGTAGTCCTCCTCCTCCTCTCTCTCCTCTCTTCAGATCACTCGTCAGCAGCTGAAACAGGAAGGCTCTGATTTGCTGGATTTCTTCTGTGAAGACAGAGAAACGTTCCGATTGGACGACTGCTTCAACATCTTCAACTCCTTCTGCTGCCGCTTCACTCAGGCTGCCAAGTTACACATTTCTAAGATAATAAACCTTATCCTGAATGTAATACACTTCTCGGCCCTCTGCTGCCTCCTGGAGGTCAAACAGAGAGATGGTGGTTCATAAAGTGAATCTCCCTCTTTGTCTGTAAAGGTCGGCGTCTTCAGGATCTGGAAGAGCAGAAGAGACACTCCTGGGCCGGGGGGGAGGAGGTGGGAGAGCACTTTTTTATCAACTAAATATACTATAAATCATTGGAAATTGTCCTATTTTCTTATTTTAAGACCTTTTTGGTAGTTTTTGTTATGTTTACCAATTCAAATGTTCATATTTCAGAGACTTGAAACACAATTTTCTTATCTTTCTATCCAACAACTGATCATTACAGCTCCACTTCTTTGTACGATACACACTGCTGATCAGTGGTTGCGTTAGACTTTTTCGTTGTCCGTCATTTTGACAGGATCGTAACATTTCCGTCATAATCCATTATTACCCGTCATTTTTATTTTTTTATTTATTCATTTAATAATATTAGCTGCTAATTGTAGCCACCAGAGTATCGCAGCTTCAGGTTGATTGACTGTCCCATGGTGGGGTGTACGTGTGCGCACGTGTGCGCACTGTTGAGGTCTGGACATCCAGCAGATTGTAATAGCTGTATTAGGTTGGGAGGTGGCTCGGGGTGTTTGTGTTTGCCATATGCAACACAACCTTCAATTGTGTTTTGAATGCCTCGTTACAGGCAACCTGCGATTTCTCCACATGCTTTACGATTGCCACGCTCTGGTTGACCACCTTTGAAGCTTCGATGTGGCTATGGCTACTTTTGTGATCATTCAGCACTGATTTCTGCATCATCGTACACCCTCGGACAAATCCGTTACTCATCTTAGCTTTTCTACAGATGTCGCAGAACATTTTGCCATCTTCCCTCCTCAGCCACTTAAACTCTTGCTCCCACTGAACCCGGTACTCCTGCTTCAACTCCTTGCCACTTGCTTGTCCCTCTGCTGCTGGCTGAACGTTGTCAGTTTTAGTCTTACTGGCTTGTCCTTCATCCTCCACTGCATCAATCCCTCTTTTTTCACCTCGTTTATCCACACCATCACAATTACTGTGCTTATTAAAAAAGCTTCGAGCACTCAGCTGCCGTGACATTTTGTGATTGCTAAAGCCGGTTAAACAACGAGGCAGGGGCGGCGCCTAGCAACGGCTTAGCAACCCCATTGTTTTGTTATGAAAATGTATCTATATATATTTATAGACATTCTCCCTCAGTCGACCTGGCCACTAAGGATGTAATATAATGTGGGCCGCTGGTGGACATTTTGGCGCTGTTCCGAGTTGTGTTCTAATCTGTCAAAATGACGGACTGCTTTCAGATTTTTCCGTCATTCTTGGAAAAATTCCGTCATAGACGGAAAATATTCGGTTGACGCGACCTCTGCTGCTGATACACACTGCTGATACACACTGTTGATACACACTGCTGATACACACTGCTTCACTAATGCTTGTGTTTCTGTTTCAGAGCGTTCGGGTTGCGCTGCAGCAGCGAGACGGACATGTCCTCCGCCGTGTCGCGCCACGACGACGCCGGGCTGCTATTGGACCTCCTGACCCTGAGGTCCCGCCCCCGCTCGCCCCTCAACAACTCCCACAATGCTTTGGGGCGTTCGGGAAGCTTACGACGCTCCAGAAACTCTCCGTCCAGTTCGCCTTTTCTCACTGCAGACCGCGAGCTTAGCACGTTACTCGGGATGAACAATGAACGCAAAGAGGCAGCTTTTCCATCAGTTTTCCCCGAAATTAGAAGTCCAGGACCCTTCCCCCAAAACCAGCAGCCTCAAGCGGGGAAACCGCAAACCGCCTCCTCGCCTCCGAAAAGTGCACAAAACGCCAACCATACAACCGCCAATTACCTCAGCTTTAATGCTACCCAGACTCGGGTAAACAAAGTCGAATCTACCTCCGATCCGAACCAGCAATCCGACCACAACAACAACAACGGCAAACATCGACAAGAACTTGGGGCGCATTCGGACTTTCGTGGTGGTTTTGAAGGGGAACTTGCAAAGAACGAACTGGATTTTCCTGATCGCAGTGACGAGAAGTTTGAACAGTCTTTGGCAAACATGTCTGTTGTTTTAGAGAAATGCAAATTGGTGCCTGAACTGAGAGTGTTTGACACGGGTACCCAAAACACCACGAGTGGCGTCCAGGATGATGTGTTCCCAGACCAGAAGAACTCCCAGAAACTGGAAAATTCTTCGTTACAAAGAGAGGAAGAGGAGGGTCGAGAGGATACGGTGGTGGTTTGGTGCGTGACGGGTGTTTGTGAGGCGGCCGATGAACCAACCAACGCTGAAAACGCACAAACGGATCAATCTAGAAGCGACAAACAACCTTCTTCTTACCCAGCCAATCGAACGCCTTCTGAAGCTCAGTCGGCCAATGAGAAGCCAGTGCCTGAACCCATCAGCAGCCAACCGGTGCCTGCCTCACATCCGGCCTCTTCCCCTAGGTGGCGCCCAACAGATAGCGCCACCAATAAAGTGCCTGCTATCGAAGAAGTAGCCAACGAGAAGAGAAAAGTGGAGTCAAAGGCAAAGTCAGGAAAGGCAGAATCGGGAAATTATTCATCCAATAAGAACCTCCCTACCTCTAAAACTCGACCAATTGGGATCAAACAAACCACAAACTCCAACAAATCTAATCCGGTTCGAACCCTCACGAACTCCGAGAACTTCAGCATGAGACGAGTTGTGCCGATCTCAAGGACCAAGCGCCAAGAGAAACCGTCCAGTTTGACCAATCTCAAAAGCTCTTCTTTCTGGAAACCATTGACCGCGCCTTCTTCCCGTCGGACGAGCGTTGATCAAAAAGACCAGAAAGACCAGAAGGTTTCTCGAGATCTTCAGAACCAGGACTTGCAAAGGAAACCGTCCAATTTGACCAACATAAAAAGCTCTTCTTTCCGGAAACCATCGACCGCGCCTTCATCCCGCCGAACGAGCGTTGACCACAAAGACCACAAAGTTTCCAGAGACCCCCAGAACCAGAACTTGCAAATAAAGCAACCGTCCATCCGAAAACCATTGGCTAAACCCAAAGCACCTCCAGAAGAAAAGATGTGTCGCTCAACTCTTCGAGCGCTTTCTCAAGCAAGTGGTAGCATCAGTGCTCCGGTTACTCCTTTGCACAAACCCGCTACTTCTTCTTCTACTTCTTCGTCGCCGTTTCCAGGATTTACTCGAAACACCGCCTCCTCTTCCTTCAGACAAACACCGTCTCCATCGCCTTTCTCTAGAACTGGATCTTTAAGAGTTTCCGTCACTTCTGGATCCTCAGATTCCCTCAAACCGTCCTCCTCTTCGTCCCCTTTAAAGAGGTTTCAGAGCATCAGAGCGCCAATTCGCGACTCGGTATCGCCCCCTAAAGGCCATCGGAGGAATGACAGCGGCACTTTCTCCGAGAAGTCGACGTACTCAAGAGACTCGGGAAAATCCAGCAAACCGACCTGGAGATAACATATGCTAATAATAGGAGTCAGAAGTGGCTACGTTCACATGCACAATAATATTTCAAAATTCAAAAAACGACAATATTCAGAATTGGATACGATGAAGGTGAATAGGGTAAAAATGTAACTTTTAGATATCAGCATGAAACTTCCCTGGTTGGTTACTTACATTAAGGATATCATTTTTTGTATTACAAGTTTTCTGAAATTTGATATTTGAATATGCAAATGAGGCATTCACTCGTAAAATATGGGCTTATTTCATACATTCCCAGAACAGAAATGTGAGCATCGGATAAAGTGGGGTTCAAATTTCCTGTTTCATTTTGTCGACATATTAGAGTCAATGGATTTAACCGAGGGAGTCTCTTTGTATCACTAAACAATTTGAAAACCCTGCAGTAAAAGTGCATTTTCTGCATGTTTTTAGTGATAAAGTGTGTGTGAATGGTGTGTAAACGATGGCCTCTTTAAAAAAAAATCAGAAAACAGAGAGGAGAACATCTCTTTTGGAGAAAGGAAATTGGAGGTAAAGAAATGTGAGCAAAGTCTGAGAGAGAAAAAGTCTTAAAAATCGGACTAAACTTAAAATATTTAGACACGTTTTTTTCTCACATTTGTATTAATTTCATAGAAAAAGTTGAAATATTTGGTCCTAATAATTCAGCGGGAAGATTCAAAGGCAAGTCGAACGTTTCAGATAAAGAAATTCAATATAATTCAAGAAAAAAAGTCCAAGTCTGGAGTATTTTGTGTATGTCAACAAAGCCACTTCTTCTGTCCTTGGTTACAAACACAAACACCAATAATGCTGCATAAATTATCCTTTTTATACAACAATTATTAAAAAACAACCAGCCACATAACCACTCATTTCTCCAGGGGAATATTAAGGAATGGAAATAAATGTCTGCATCCATAAATATATAATGAGATTTAAAACGTTTCTGGTGACTGAATCCCAGCTGTGTTTCGTCCTGATTAAAACCCCTTACTTTAACGTCTTAAACTTGGATTATGCACTTTTAACTTCACTAACCCAGATCAGAAATCTTTGTAAATGTGGCCTGATTTAAATAGTAAGCGTATTTTAATTAAATTAAAATGTTAAATCACTGAAAATCATGAAGGGGATATTTAATGTTCCTCCGACAGTGTCTGGGATAAGTGCCAAGTTTGTTTATATGATGATATTTGTATGTTTATGTTCCTATTTATGTACGTATGAAGCTGAAATATATATAAATATATCATCTATGTACTAATTAATAAAGTGTTATTCCTTAAACATGCTCTTTGTTTCTGTTCACCAGAGATCGTTTAAAAAAATTCTGATTTTGTTTTTGTTTACATATAATTCGATTATTAACACTGCATAATAAAGCCTTTTTTCTTCATGTAAAGATATCACAACGTTAAAACAAATCATATGTATATATAGAAAAGTAGTAAAAAATACTCAAGTACAAGTATTGTTGGTATTTGATTATTTTTCTATAAATCCTTTGACTGCTAATGTTCAAATATATTGAACTGGAGTAGAAGACGCCTAGCAACCAGCAGGGGGCGACATTGCGCAAATTATCTCCTTGCTGTGAATGACACACACACACACACATACACACACACACACACACACATACACACACACAAACACACGTAAACACAGACATACATACACACACACACACACACACACACACACGTACACACACATAAACACACGTACACACACACATGCATACACACACACACACACACACACACACACACACACACACACACACACACACACACATTGGTATTTTATTATGTTTCTATAAATCATTTACATGTAGGACTACTAACTGTGATTATTATTTTGGATTGAGTTCTTAAAACTAATAATAAAATATTAATTTTTAATATCTTATCGTGCCAGTATTCAAATTACTTCATTACAAATACAATTAGGATAATTGATGTGTATTATTTTGGGCATTAGTTAATAAAAATGACATGATATTAATAATTTCATTCATCATCCTGCGAGTATTTACATTTCCGAAATACAAATGAACTCAAAATAATTAACGTGTTTGATTCTTCATAACAACATTTTGTAGAATGAAATAAAACATGGACTACAAAAAGAAAACGTATATAAATCACCAAGGTGAGGGTGGGGGGGGGGGGGCGGGCGGTATGACGTCATCTGCGCGCGCCAAACAAAGCTCCATGTGCAACAGCGAAGAGGCGATTAGTTGAGTTTGAGTTTGTGATGAAAAAAGTTCAAAAACACAAACATAGAGAAGTGAAATTCAACATAAAGTCACTCAGTTGGATGTGAAACTGAAATATAGAAGCTAGCGGGAAGACATGCATTACAAAGACACGAGTATTCAGGAGTTTTAAAGTTTAAAGTCCGAGGAAACTGGAGATAAACAGTGTTTTGAAAAGGTGAGTTTGGTCTGTTGGACAACTTTGATGTCTTAATTAAGAATATGTTCCTCTGTTTGGGGAATTTCTGAAAGGTTAGGGGTCAACCGCTGAATAACGGGACACTTTGAACAGACATATTGTAAATAACACGGAGATACTGCAGAGTACTATACACAGAGGGAAATTAAGTATTTCGATCATTTACTTGAATACAAGTACTGTGAAAATATTCCACTGCCAGTACAAATCCTGTTTAAAGTAATTTACTGAACTATTAGCGTTTTGCTTTTTACTACATGAACTTTCTGTCAGTTTTAGTTACTTTTAAGTCCATTTTAACAGAGGTGGGAGAAGTACTTGAGTAAAAGTAGAAGTACTCAGATATTGTACTTGAGTAAAAGTAGAAGTAGTCAGATATTGTACTTGAGTAGAAGTAGAAGTACTCAGATATTGTACTTGAGTAAAAGTAGAAGTACTCAGATCTTGTACTTGAGTAAAAGTAGAAGTACTCAGATCTTGTACTTGAGTAAAAGTAGAAGTACTCAGATCTTGTACTTGAGTAAAAGTAGAAGTACTCAGATCTTGTACTTGAGTAAAAGTAGAAGTACTCAGATCTTGTACTTGAGTAAAAGTAGAAGTACTCAGATCTTGTACTTGAGTAAAAGTAGAAGTACTCAGATCTTGTACTTGAGTAAAAGTAGAAGTAGTCAGATATTGTACTTGAGTAGAAGTAGAAGTACTCAGATATTGTACTTGAGTAAAAGTAGAAGTACTCAGATCTTGTACTTGAGTAAAAGTAGAAGTACTCAGATCTTGTACTTGAGTAGAAGTAGAAGTACTCAGATCTTGTACTTGAGTAAAAGTAGAAGTACTCAGATCTTGTACTTGAGTAAAAGTAGAAGTACTCAGATCTTGTACTTGAGTAAAAGTAGAAGTACTCAGATCTTGTACTTGAGTAAAAGTAGAAGTAGTCAGATATTGTACTTGAGTAGAAGTAGAAGTACTCAGATATTGTACTTGAGTAAAAGTAGAAGTACTCAGATCTTGTACTTGAGTAAAAGTAGAAGTACTCAGGTCTTGTACTTGAGTAAAAGTAGAAGTACTCAGATCTTGTACTTGAGTAAAAGTAGAAGTACTCAGGTCTTGTACTTGAGTAAAAGTAGAAGTACTCAGATCTTGTACTTGAGTAAAAGTAGAAGTACTCAGATCTTGTACTTGAGTAAAAGTAGAAGTACTCAGATCTTGTACTTGAGTAGAAGTAGATGTACTCAGATCTTGTACTTGAGTAAAAGTAGAAGTACTCAGGTCTTGTACTTGAGTAAAAGTAGAAGTACTCAGATCTTGTACTTGAGTAAAAGTAGAAGTACTCAGGTCTTGTACTTGAGTAAAAGTAGAAGTACTCAGGTCTTGTACTTGAGTAAAAGTAGAAGTACTCAGATCTTGTACTTGAGTAAAAGTAGAAGTACCAGAGTGTAGGAATACTCTGTTACAGTAAAAGTCCTGCATTCAAAATGTTCCTCAAGTGAAAGTAGAAAAGTATTATCATCAAAATACAGTAAAAGTATTCATGTTTTGATATTGATCCTTTTGTTTTTAGGGATGCTTCTCTGATCAGCTGTGACGAACAAATGGACAACGAGCATCAAGAGAGGAGAGAAGAGGAAGAGGAGGAGATGATGAAGGCAGGCAAAGTAATAAATGGACACACTCCCATCTTCGCCTCCTCCTCCCTCACCTCCTTCCCTTTCCTCTCCTCCTCCTCTCTGTGCCGAGGAAGAGAGGAAGACGAAGAGGAGGTGAGCGTCGCCATCGTCACCATCGACGACGAGTCCTGTCCGTCAGAGCCGTTTGGACCCGCCCTCCTGGAGACGGCCAATCAGATCGCACGGATTGAGGGAGGGGGAGATAAGGAGGAAGAGGAAGAGGAGGAGAGAAACAGCGAGGAAGAGGAAATGACGTCACCATCTCCTCACCTGGTAAGTGTTGACAGTGAAGTAACTAAGTACATTGACTCGAGTTACCAAGTGAAGAGAGTTTGAGAGTTGACAGATCCTTCTACAACAAATTCTGCTTATACTGGACTCAAGTACAATTTTGAGGTACTTGTACTTTACTTGAGTATTTCCATTGTATGCTACTGTGTACTTCTACTTCTACCCCACTACAGTTCAGAGGTGAATGGTGTACTTTTACTCCACTACATGTATTTAATAACATACCTTTGTACATGTTTACCAACTACTGATGGTCTGCTCTGATTGGTCCACCGCTAAGAGATGTACAATGTGTTGGAGCGCTAGCCAATAGGAGCGCGAGTGTTCAATAGTGATGTCACTATGTTCAGGGAGTGAACAAAGGAGGTGTTTCAGGCAGGGGGAGAGTGGGTATTTGTATTTAACTAATTATATTTGTATATTATATTATTATTATTATTATATATATATATATTAAATACATCATTATATTATTGAATGTTCAAATATATTGAACTCGAGTAGAAGACTCCTAACAGCCAGCAGGGGGCGACATTGCACAAATGATCTCCTTACTGTGAATGACACACAAACACACACAAACACACACACACACACACACACACACTCACTCTCTCTCTCACTCTCACTCTCTCTCTCTCTCTCTCTCTCTCTCTCTCTCTCTCTCTCTCTCTCTCTCTCTCTCTCTCTCTCTCTCTCTCTCTTGCGTCAGTGTTGCATTGTGTGACCCATTTGTGTGTGTGACATTCAGGTACCAGCTGATGACGTGTGTGTGTGGGTCATTCAGGTGCCATTGTGTCTCCTGTATTGTCGTCTGTGTAAACACCAGCTGTGTGTGTGAGAGAAAGTGTGTGTGTGCTCCTTTTACTCTTAATAATGGAAATTCCTTATAATTATTTTTAACTGAGTTTTAATATATTTTCTTGCTTTAATGATTTTCATTCAAGCAAATACACATTTTCAAATAAGATACATTTAAAATATATATTTTCTTACTCGTCGTTTCACAGACGTGCTATAAATACACTACTCAGAAAAAGTTTAATTTACTTGTATTTTGTACATTAAATAACATTTACCCTCTTTTTATTTAATTAATTGTTATATTTTTATCGTATTTGCAGTTAATATTCTTCTAAAAAGATAAGAAAGTACTTTGTAGTAAAGTTGTGTACTTTATACTAGATGTATAACTACTAAAATGTGATAAGTACTTCGATATTCGTTCATAATAAGGTAGTATTCATTATTTAATATCCTGTCCTGCCAATATATTAAAATACTTAATACTTCAAATAAACCTCAAATTATTCATATTTTATATATTTACCATGTTTTTATCATCAAATGTTTTAGAGAATTCTTAAAAACTGGGCGTGTGTAACACACACACAGAGACACACAGACACACACACACACACACAGAGACACACAGACACACACAGAGACACACAGACACACACACACACACAGAGACAGACACACACACACACACACACACACATGCACAGACACAGACACACACACACACACACACACACACACACAGACACATGCACACACAGACACACACACACACACACACACACACACACACACACACACACACACATATATATATACACACAGAGACACACAGACACACACACACACACACACACACACACACACACACACACATATATATATACACACAGAGACACACAGACACACTCACTCACACACACACACACACACACACACACACACACACACACACACACACACACACACACACACACACACACACATTTGTATATATGGTTAAAGTTGTATTAAGTGACTGAAGTAGGCAACATAACTCTATATAATAGATCTCCTTTGGCTCCAGAGCTTCTCTTGGACAAATGGACTTAAACTCAAACTGTATATTGATATTCAATCTAATATCTAATATTCCATTCCTCACATACTGAAGTATATATAATATCCTGCTGTATATTCTGTGGTAAGGTGTGTGTGCAGGAATGTGCACAGTGAGCATTCCTCAGATTCCCCCATCGGGATCATGGGATATGAAGTCTCCTCCCATGGGAAATGTTAGCTTAAAACACACACACACACACTTACTTATATATATATATATATATCTATACACACACATATACACACACCGTGAGTCATACTTGTACAGAACCAGTACGACACATGATGGGAAACATTATGACTGTGGAGTTCTCTCTGCGACCACTAGAGTGCGAGTGTGTGTGTGTGTGTGTGTTTGCGCGCACGTGATTATAAAAACTAGGGCACTAATCTGGTTTTGCTCTGTGATCTAAGAGCATTTTATTGCTAGATTACTACACATATATGAGATTATATATACACACACACACACACACACACACACACACTGGTGCGAATAGAGGCACGCTGCAATGACTGGTATGTGGGCACACACACTTTTTATTTAATGGTATGTACACACCGTATAACCTTGTTTGTACACATTTTTTATAGTAGTAATATATAATACAATATATTGTATGTTATATTAAGCATTTAATACTATAATATATATATAACAGTCACGTTCTGGGACATTTGTATACTTTAATATTACATTTCTCTCTTTGAAATGAGCCATAGTGCATAATAATACATTTCAAATCAAATAAAGTCTTAATATTCAGTTTGTAATTGTGTGTGTGTGGTGTGTGGTGTGTGGTGTGTGTGTGTGTGTGTGTGTGTGTGTGTGTGTGTGTGTGTGTGTGGTGTGTGTGTGTGTGTGTGTGTGTGTGTGTGTGTGTGTGTGTGGTGTGTGTGTGTGTGTGTGTGTGTGTGTGTGTGTGTGTGTGTGTGTGTGTGTGTGTGTGTGTGTGTGTGTGTGTTGTGTGTGTGTGTGTGTGTGTGTGTGTGTGTGTGTGTGTGTGTGTGTGTGTGTGTGTGTGTGTGTGTGTGTGTGTGTGTGTGTGTGTGTGTGTGTGTGTGTGTGTGTGTGTGACGACCTCCAGGTCAATCAGCTGTGAGAAAGCAGCGACCTGCTCTCACCTCCTGCTGGGAAACGTTTCAATGAAGCTAAGCGTCCGTCTGGAATCTCAGGTCCTCCACTTTCTTCACACAGAGATATCTCAGCATGGGATGGATGTGAGATCAGTCTGGCGCTAGTTAGCTTATATTAGCATGCTAACATAAGCTAAGCTAAAATGGTGAACGTGGTAAAGATGAATCGTTTAAACGTGTTCGATATCTCAAACAAATACCTCGACTCTGGTTCGGGACCAAGTCCGTTTCAAATAAAAAATAAATTAAATCATTAAAGATTTGTTTTACTATTGTTAGCGTGACAGAGACTACGTAATGTTTATAGCTCAATCTGGCATAAATGTTCTCTTTGTGAGAGTATTTGATATATTTGCACGGTCCTTGTTCATTTAAAGTGGACCTATCATGCTATATTTGAATAATATAGTGTAGGACCATACCAATATAAGGCATATTTAGACTTTTTTCTTTTCAAAATACCAAACAGATCATGCATTTTAGCCATGCCTCATTTTGCTCAATTTGACATTTTTTAGCTCTGTTTTTGCAAGGGCAGATTCTGTGAGAACAGCACCACCTACAGGCCTGGCATATGTACTACAGCGTCTCCAGCGCTTTCGAACGGCAATGCCGTGGTTGTCTCCTCCTGATTGGTGGAGTTGGCCCAATAGCCGTAGCGCCACCGTCCTGACGTCAGGACAGTGTTCAAATCTGGATCAGTTTTTATCAGATCCGTTGCAGCCCCTTTTTTAGAGATTTGGGTATGGAGGAAAATAGAGAGGGTTGTGTTTTCTGACACTTGGTGAGTTCCCTGGAACACCGGGGACACATATTCATGTAGAAAAGATGTACAAAAGTGCATTTTGCATGATAGGTCCCCTTTAAATAATAATAATAACAATGTTTAGAAATTAATGTTAACATACAGTTTAAATTATTTGATATTTTAATTTTTTATATGTTCAGGTATCAGCTGCTTTTTGGCGGGTAATGACGCTCTAGATATCGGAACGTTCGTAAATTAAATACATTTTCAGAAAGACTCGTTAACGTCCCTCCCTCTCTGTAAGATTGGATTATTGATTATTGATCTCAGTGTGTCTGAGCCTCCGCTGGTAACATAAGAACTTGTATTTATCCCCGTGGGGAATCAGGCGTTTTTAGCAGCGACGGTCGGAGTGAAAAACAGGATTCACACAAGCGCCACAACACCAAGTCAAATTCCTCGTAACCTGCTGATTCTGATATATTATTATATATACACACACACACACACACACACACACACACACACACACACACACACACACACACACACACACCCACACACACACACACACACACACACACACACTCCCCCCGGCTCCTCCCCCCCCCTCACTAGGCATGTCTCTGCGTGTTCCTGTCGGTCCTGAAGCAGCCGCAGCTCGGACTCTTTCTCTCTGATCGATCCCTCTCAGATCATGGATTTTTGACGTCACGCAGTTTTTAATTCTCCTCCTGTCTGGATCCCGCGGATTTAATCTCTCTCTATAAATATATATATATATATATTTTTAGTATATATTTTAACGGGTGTTTTCCCTCGGAGGTTGTAGATCACCATGGGTTTCTACGGCACCCTGAAGCTCATCTTCTACAAAGTGAGTATATCGGTGTTTTTACCGGAGGGCTTCATGCGGGAAATGAAGGTTGTCAGGCGGCTTGTGCAGCACCGGGATGACGAGGCGTTTCTGTGTGTGTCGGTGTGTGTGTACGTGTGTACGTGTGTGTGTGGACCACTGCGGAACCGGCAGAAACACACGTTATCTGCATGTCTTCATTAACCCTCAACACGTCCTTTAACGCGTCTCAGAATGAAGCTTGAATGCTTATCTTGTGCATTTATTCATTTCTGCTCAGTGTCCTTTAACCGTTTTTGCTTTAGTGTGTAAATGGCATAGTGTGTAGTCTGACAAAACGGCTGTGAATCGCATTATTGAGGTAAAATCTAGTGTATTAAAGCAGCAAATACATGTGGTTAAAAGGTAATATGTACATATAAGGAACACATGAGGATCTAATGCTTATTAATCCTTTGAAATCAACATTGTTACCACCCTAATAAAGAGGTAACATATTGTACAGCTGCTGTGAACAGGAAAACAGAAAGAAATATAGTATAACATCTTGAAATCAGATAATCAGACACCATTGCTGCTTTAATATAGTGCATAAAATGAATAATATTAGTGTACATTTCATTTTTTTGGGCCTAAAACAGTAAGAAATGTCTGAAATAATTGTAAAATCCGGCCAAACTTTATTATCAATCACTTGTAGATCTTCATCGCTACAAAATACAAGATTTAAACCATAATAATTAGCATTTCCTGTCTCATTATACTATAAAAACACAAGTAAAAGAGGTATAATTCACTGTTCAGATCATTACAAAAAACATTTTTGGGTCAAATATTGGTGTAAATCTTGAGATTTCTTTAAAAACCTGACAATATTTGAGTAACTAATGCTTGTTCGTGTTCACTGCTAGAAGCCATTGGACTAAAACCTTATTAATCTCCATTTATGTCTCAATAAATTATGAAAACACAAGTAAAAGCGATATAACACACTGTACACCTCCTGTAAATTGTCTTTTTTTGGTCAAATATAGCATAAAATCTCTGTTACAGACTTGAAATCAGACATTATTTAAGTATCTAATAGTTGTTCATTTTTAAAGCTACAAACGACAAGATTAAATCCTTAGAAATTGGGATTCCTCGCTTTCCCCCCCCCCCGCCGTGAAATGACAGATTATAGATGGATATCTCTCAGTAAATCCTGTAACAATGACACATAGGTCGCAATGAGGTCACGTGTTATCCCAGTCATTACAGTAATGGTGTGCAGATGCTCAAAATGTACACAAATGTCACCATTATTTACCTTTGAACAGACTAGAGTCCCCCTATAGTGACCGCTGTAGTTCACTATAGGAGTCTCACAGAGGTTTCACTTTAAAACACACATGTCGTACATCAAAGCGCTTTTGATTTTAACAGTAAGCAGATTTCTGTTTTAGCCTGAAGTGAAGTTTTTCTTTTTCAAGCTTAATGAAATCCACTTGGACATCTGTTATGAAAAAACAAAACAGCGACATGTGGGGGTTAAAAGTCAGAAATGAAAAGCAGATTATGAGGTTACATCTGCCCTCAGACTCCCAAATATTCACTGTTTATCGCTGGTATTTTACTCTGAGAAGAGGCTGATAATGCAGAGTTATGATGCATCCACACACACACTGTACTGTACCATGCACGAGTGTTTTTTTGGGGCTTTAATAACAAAGTCAGACGCTCATCTTTTTGTCATACTAACACTTGACTTTTGTTGCCTTTATACATATATATATATATATATGCCGTGTGTACATTGCATACATGTGGTGTATGAAACAGCAGGACACGATGAAAAGAGTCAAATCAAACTGAAGTATCTGTTGCTTGTCCATCTTCACGACTATAACCCATAGGTCTCAAACGTTATTCATTCGCATGTTAGGCCTCATTATGGTTTGAAAGCCCCCATAAAAGAGCATGTGAAATGCATTTGTTTTGGTCAGATATATAATGTATTTCCCCTGGTATTATTGATGCATTTCGGGCAGAAGAAACGTAGTGAGAAACAACTTCATTTTGTCATTTCCTTACACCAATTTTCACAGTAAATGAATTAAAATAATGGATGCATTTTAGAAACGTAGTGAGATACTTTCCTCTTACAAAACATCATCTGCGTGCTTCCTTACAACATTTCTGCTTTAATATAGTGTTTAAATGAGGAATATTGCTTAGTGAAATGCCAGTGTTGTGTAGTCTCTACGTAACAGTATTCAGCTTTATGTTAGCAAAACATATCAGTTATTTTGATATAGAAAATAACTGAAGGTTAGAAAGCTTAAAAAAAAACAATTTCTCGAAGACATTTCGTCATAAGGAGTTCAATATTCTGATATATCGTTATCGTGTGTTTTGAAGGCTGCATTACAGTAAAGTTAAAAACATTTTTAATTTAGCAGGCTCGTAGCTTTCCTAATTGCCTACGATATTTTCCCAATATCTAATTATTTGGCCTAAATTGTTGAGATATTGGAATTTATATAGCCCTAGTTTGAACTACAGACTGTTTACTGTTGCTAACTGATGCTAACTGCTTCTAACTGATGCTAACTGCTTCTAACTGATGCTAACTGCTTCTAACTGCTTCTAACTGATGCTAACTGCTTCTAACTGATGCTAACTGCTTCTAACTGATGCTAACTGATGCTAACTGCTTCTAACTGATGCTAACTGCTGCTAACTGCTGCTAACTGCTTCTAACTGATGCTAACTGCTTCTAACTGATGCTAACTGCTTCTAACTGCTTCTAACTGCTTCTAACTGCTTCTAACTGATGCTTACTGTTGCTAACTGCTTCTAACTGCTTCTAACTGCTTCTAACTGCTTCTAACTGATGCTAACTGATGCTAACTGATGCTAACTGCTTCTAACTGATGCTAACTGATGCTAACTGCTTCTAACTGCTTCTAACTGCTTCTAACTGATGCTAACTTCTTCTAACTGCTTCTAACTGCTTCTAACTGATGCTAACTGCTTCTAACTGACGCTAACTGCTTCTAGCTGACGCTAACTGATGCTTAACTGATGCTAACTAATCTTAACTGATGCTGACTGATGCTGACTGATGCTAACCTCTTCGTCCCTCTCTTAACTGATGCTTAACTGATGCTTAACTGATGCTTAACTGATGCTAACTGATGCTAACGTCTTCGCCCCTCTCTTCCCAGTCCGGCCTCTCTGGTCCAGGCCACCACTCCCACCACATTTGGGGACCTGAGGCTGGCCAATGGGCTTTCAGCTCAGCGGCGGCGCGTCACCTCGGGACCTCCACCCTCCGGCCTGCAGGACTGGCTCCACATCTTCCAGGTTAGTGCTCATTTTATTTGGTATATTAAGATAGCTAAACCCATCCTACGAAACCAGTTAATCCAACCAGTAGTGCTGTTACTTCCCAACATGCTAACTAGCTTCCTAACTTTTGTCAAACCGGCTAAGAATAGGCGATACATTCATATCAGTATGTAGTGTCTCTACTTTACATCAAATGTTTTCCAACATTGTGCAGCCATTATTTTTTAACATTAGCAGGATTGTAGGATTTCTTGACTAAAACGAATTAATACATACAATTCTGAATAAAAAGACGTTGTGATCGTGATTTACATTTTGGACGTAGTTATTAAGCCCTGAAAATAAATCACATGCAAAAATATGAATAAATAATACATTTTTAACTGTGGCGGGAAACACCACATACTTGTTCTACTAGTGTAGTTGTGTGGGAAGAAGCTACACACACACACACACACACACACACACACACACACACACACACACACACACACACACACACACACACACTATGTTCATTAGCTGTGTGTGTGTGTGTGTGTGTGAATATCTTCCGCTGGCTGCACGTAAACACAGATTAGAGTAGAGCTGCCCCCGAGCTCTTCTTATGTAACTGATGAAAAAAACATTCATTCACACACTTTGAAATACAGACGTCCAACCTCTTCCTCCTCCTCCTCTTCCTCCTCCTCCTCTTCCTCAGGCGTGGAGTGGTCCTGAGCGTCTCTTGGCTCTGGATGAGTTGATTGACAGGTGTGAAACAGGCCAGGTGAAGCACATGATGCAGGTGATCGAGCCTCAGTTCCAGAGAGACTTCATCTCCCTTCTGCCCAAAGAGGTGAAAACACAAATACTGATTTTTTTTTCAGATACTCTCCACATATCTTCTGAGATTTTTGGGATATTTTATTCACAAACAAATGTTTTTTTCTGACATTTTATTTGATAATTTTCCATTTAGTTTTTAATTATTTTCTTCAGATATTTTTCCACAAATTTCGGGATATTTTTCCATATTTTCCAGAATTTATTCACATATTTAAGAATATTTTTCACAATGTTTTTCATACCAGCAAATATGTAGAAAGGTATTTAAATAGACCCATAGACTGAAGTAGAGTATACACATTTGTTTCTGCTACTATCTGTTAGGAGTCAATAGTTTCTTTGCTTTTTGATGAGTGATTTTTCTGCAACAAAAGTGAGTTTTAGTGTAAAATCAATACAAAAATTGGGTCAATTTAAATACCACTTCTTGCATTTCTACATAATGTGTAGAATATGCAGGTATGGTGTTAAATATGGGAATACAGTCTGGAAAATTTGAAAATCTATCCCGAATATTGCTGAAAATATGTGGAAATATATCTGAAAAATTCATTAAAAACAAATGTAAAATAATTGGAATAATTAAATAAAAATGCCTGAATTTATGTGAAAATTCCCCCAAAAATAAGTGAAAAAAGGTATGATATGTATTTATTGCTGTATTAAATGTGTGTGTGTGTGTGTGTGTGTGTGTGTGTGTTGCAGTTGGCGCTGTACGTGCTCACCTTCCTGGCTCCTAAAGACCTGCTGCAGGCGGCTCAGACCTGCAGATACTGGAGGATCCTAGCTGAAGATAATCTGCTGTGGAGAGAGAAGTGCAGAGAAGAAGGTACTTTAAAGAGTCCTGATGATGTTCAGGTGTATATCAGTGTATAGTGTCTCTACTTTAAAGAGTCCTCTCCTGCTGATGTTCAGGTGTATATCAGTATGTAGTGTCTCTACTTTAAAGAGTCCTCTCCTGCTGATGTTCAGGTGTATATCAGTATGTAGAGTCTCTACTTTAAAGAGTCCTCTCCTGCTGATGTTCAGGTGTATATCAGTATGTAGTGTCTCTACTTTAAAGAGTCCTCTCCTGCTGATGTTCAGGTGTATATCAGTATGTAGTGTCTCTACTTTAAAGAGTCCTCTCCTGCTGATGTTCAGGTGTATATCAGTATGTAGTGTCTCTACTTTAAAGAGTCCTCTCCTGCTGATGTTCAGGTGTATATCAGTATGTAGTGTCTCTACTTTAAAGAGTCCTCTCCTGCTGATGTTCAGGTGTATATCAGTATGTAGTGTCTCTACTTTAAAGAGTCCTCTCCTGCTGATGTTCAGGTGTATATCAGTATGTAGTGTCTCTACTTTAAAGAGTCCTCTCCTGCTGATGTTCAGGTGTATATCAGTATGTAGTGTCTCTACTTTAAAGAGTCCTCTCCTGCTGATGTTCAGGTGTATATCAGTATGTAGTGTCTCTACTTTAAAGAGTCCTCTCCTGCTGATGTTCAGGTGTATATCAGTATGTAGTGGCTCTACTTTAAAGAGTCCTCTCCTGCTGATGTTCAGGTGTATATCAGTATGTAGTGTCTCTACTTTAAAGAGTCCTCTCCTGCTGATGTTCAGGTGTATTCAGTATGTAGTGTCTCTACTTTAAAGAGTCCTCTCCTGTTGATGTTCAGGTGTATATCAGTATGTAGTGTCTCTACTTTAAAGAGTCCTCTCCTGCTGATGTTCAGGTGTATATCAGTATGTAGTGTCTCTACTTTAAAGAGTCCCCTCCTCCTCCTCACTCTCTCTGGTAGCGTTTTGCTTTGGCACATATTTAAAGAGAATCGCTTGTGAGAACACACTGTGTGTGTGTGTGTGTGTGTGTGTGTGTGTGTGTGTGTGTGTGTGTGTGTGTGTGTGTGTGTGTGTGTGTGTGTGTGTGTGTGTGTGTGTGTGTGTGTGTGTGTGTGTGTGGTGTGTGTGTGTGTGTGTGTGTGTGTGTGTGTGTGTGTGTGTGTGTGTGTGTGTGTGTGTGTGTGTGTGTGTGTGTGTGTGTGTGTGTGTGTGTGTGTGTGTGTGTGTGTGTGTGTGTGTGTGTGTGTGTGTGTGTGTGTGTGTGTGTGTGTGTGTGTGTGTGTGTGTGTGTGTGTGTGTGTGTGTGTGTCGTGTGCGCGCTGATTATTGTATTTACTCTCCTCTGTGCAGTTTGACGGTGCGTTCGTGGTCAGCGGCTCGTTGGACACCTCCATCAGAGTCTGGGACGCAGAGACCGGTAAGATAAGAAGTACTTTATTGATCCCAATTTGGGAAATGTTTGCGTAACAGAAAATACAATAATTTACCTGTATTTATTTAATGTGTATTTTTTATTATTTAACTGTATTTATTATAATTATATCGTATTTATCATTATAATTAATATAAGTGTATTTATTATATTTATTAGTTTATTTATTATAATTAATCAAAATGTAATAATTATAATTAAAGTGTATTTATTATAATATAATTAAAGTATATACATCATTATTAAGTTAAATTATTAAGTGTTTTAATAATAATTCAAGTGTATTAATAATATATCAAAGTGTATTTGTTATGATTAAAGTGTATTATTTAAAGTGTATTCATAATATTTAAAGTGTATTAATAACGGCGTCTCCATGGTTACAGGTGGCTGTGTGCACACCCTCACTGGTCACCAGTCCCTCACCAGTGGGATGGAGCTCCGGGAAAACATCCTGGTTTCTGGGAACGCCGACTCCACGGTCCGAGTGTGGGACATCCAGAGCGGAAAGTGTCTGCACACCCTGCAAGGTGAGGACTCTTTAAAGAGGAGACACGACATACTGATATACACCTGACACCTGAACATCAGCAGGAGAGGACTCTTTAAAGTAGAGACACTACATACTGATATACACCTGAACATCAGCAGGAGAGGACTCTTTAAAGTAGAGACACTACATACTGATATACACCTGAACATCAGCAGGAGAGGACTCTTTAAAGTAGAGACACTACATACTGATATACACCTGAACATCAGCAGGAGAGAACTCTTTAAAGTAGAGACACTACATACTGATATACACCTGAACATCAGCAGGAGAGAACTCTTTAAAGTAGAGACACTACATACTGATATACACCTGAACATCAGCAGGAGAGAACTCTTTAAAGTAGAGACACTACATACTGATATACACCTGAACATCAGCAGGAGAGAACTCTTTAAAGTAGAGACACTACATACTGATATACACCTGAACATCAGCAGGAGAGGACTCTTTAAAGTAGAGACACACGGAGTTTAACCTATATTAAAGTATCATTTCCTAACTTCTGTGATCTAAACGTTCTGGTGTTGCGTTCAGGTCCCAATAAGCACCAGTCGGCGGTGACGTGTCTCCAGTTCTGCAGAGGACTGGTTCTGTCCAGTTCTGACGACGGTACGGTGAAACTTTGGGACCTGAAGACGGGCTCCTGGGTCCGAGACGTGGTGACGCTGCAGAGCCGAGGAGCAGGTCAGAAAACATGCAGTATTAATATACTTTAAGTATTTATGTGCAGGAGAATCTCCCGTAGTCATTTGGTAGTTTTAGGGCATTTTCCAACCACTTTAAAAAATATATTTGTGTAATTTCTTAAGACAAGTGTTATTTCCGCCTCTCTTTGGGTCTAAACTCTTTTTATTCCCCCACAGGAGGCGTGGTGTGGAGGATCCGAGCATCCGACACTCGTCTGGTTTGTGCCGCCGGCAGCCGGAACGGCACCGAAGAAACCAAGCTGCTCGTCCTCGACTTCGATCTGGACGACCGCACGACGGAAGAGGAGTGAGGAGGAATATTTGTTGTGAACCAAAAGTCCCACGGACAGGTATGAATGTCACCTGGAAGGGATTTCAACGCCGTGGATGTATCCTAAACGAGGCGACAGATGAATGTTTTTGACGCTTTACGGAAATGGATTTTTACTGAATGTAAACGACGGACAGATGGAACGTTGACTTTTATCGTTTTTGCTGCTGAACCAACGACAAACTCAACGACGGAGATGAAAGACAACATGAACCAAATCCTGGAGACGGAGCAACTTCCAGAGGCAGACGGGGAACCGCTGAAGATCAAGGAACATCTGATTGCTCGTTTACGTCCATTTGAATAATGCGGGAACAGAGGGTGCAAGTCCAGCTTCAAGGGGAGCTGGAGTTGAAGTGAAACGCTCTAAACTGTGATGGAAACGTTACATCAGATTTTCTGTTTCCGAAGCACCGTCACATTTTGCTTTAATGCGTAAAACAACTTCTCCACTTCAGCCGAGCTTAAAATAACTTTATTGCCATATTTCAGGTTCTTTTTGAAGGCGTTTCCTCTCCTTTTTGTCAGGCATGATGTCAAGAAAATGCACATGAAAAGCCGAGTGGAAACACAGCGTTAGTTTCATCTCGTCTCCGTTGCCTCGAAGTTCCCTGAGTCCTGTAATATATGTTTGTTAAATTGATAATCAGAGCCTTACATCTGCAAAACAAACCTTTGATTGAAGCTCGACAGACGCCTGAGTTCAGAGTAAAAGAGATTATTTAGAAACACTCGGAGCTGAGAAACCTCACAGATTCACGCTGTAGTTTCCTGCCAAAAACAAAAGGGAAATGCAGAAAATGAACTATATTTGAACGTTATTGGTTCAAACAGATCTTAAAAAACTGCTTTATTTGACAATATTTGACCGATTTTGACCATAATTATACATCTAGAGAAAGCCTGTGGAAGCAGAGAAAGGTGATTTACCTGTTCACTTCATTATGAAATGTATTTGATTCACTTTGAGGTGAAAGGGAGGCAAGGAGAAGCCGTTTAATCCCAAATGTGTTTCATTATTTACTTTATTTGGAGAAAAAAACACTGAATTTATGCATTTTTAAATGTTGGGTGATCCAATTAAGCAATGAAAACAAAAGAAAGTTGGGGTTTTTATTGAATATATATTACGTTGTCCTTTCTGTGCTCCCATAGGATTTTAGATGGATTTGTTTAAGGGTATTTTTCCCACTTAATTCTCAAAGGATCCCAAAAAATAAGCAATTTTTTGGGACGTATTTGGTCAAAAAGTGGCTCGAAATCCCCCCCAAAAACTCTGAACAAATATATATAATCAGTTAAAAATGAAACTCTACAACCATTAAAAATGCAGGAAAAAACGTATATTTTTTTGCATTTCTTTAAGGTTATATTTCACAGTATTAAATACAATATATATATTTTTAAACCCAAATCTTTAAAGGCTTATTTCACACTCTCTTTTCCTCGGTTTATAACATATTTAAATATTAAATAAAATATTTCTCCCCTGATAACCAGACATTAAATCTGCCAGGCAACACCTCTAAGCCAATGAGAGCAGAGCGGGTGGTTGTTCCCCCCGGCAACAGGTGGTGATTTTCTTTGAGAAGTGAGGCTCATCCTGTACATTACTGTAAATAAAAGATGTAAATATCCAGCTTTTTATAAGAAGAACAGAACATATTGTGGAGAGAGGAAGGCGGGATGAATGTGGATCAATAAAGATGATTTTATTAAAAAAGATTACTTGTTTGTTTTCAATTTTCATCCATTAAAGATATTAAATAAGAGCATTAAGCATTGAACAATGTGTCCTATTTATTTTGAGATTTTTTGAATGTATTTTCTGCATTGGGTTATTTTCTGGGTAGGAAGGTTGGTTGGTTAGTGGGTAGGAAGGTAGGAAGGGAAGTAGTGAGGGAGGGAGGTTGGTTGGTTGGTAGGAAAGAAGGTAGGTAGGAAGGTAGGAAGGTAGGGAGGGAGGGAGGGAGGGAGGAAGGTTGGTAGTTAGGAAAGAGGGAAGGAAGGAATCTTCTGCATTGGGTTATTTTCTGTTAAATAATTTAACTACATTTTTGTATTTATTTTTAATCATTTTAAGACTTAAACTAATAATTTCTTTAGATATTTCTGAATTGGGTACTTTAATGCTTAACACTTTAAGTAGCTTCCTTTTTCATTTTGTATAAAACCTACTTTTACTCAAGTAACCATTTGAATGCAGGACGTTGCGTCTGTGTGTCTGACTCCCTCTAGTGGTGAAACTTCAGAACTGCATTGCTCTCTCATTGCAGTGAAAGTACTAAAGTACACATTTCAGGTACTTGTACCTGAATTGAACATTGTCTTTTTATGCTACCTTATACCTCTACTACACTTAATTTGACAACTTTAGTTGATTTAAAAATAAAGATTTTGTAGAAAAAATGTGCAGTTTGTAAAATATTCTTTTTAAATAATATATATTTTAATGATATTTTAAAATAGGTTTTTTTAATACATTTATATAAAGAGTCTTTAAGTCAAAATTAAATGTATTATTTCAAACAATTAGTTGATTTTTTTGATCATTTAAGTTTACAGCAATTCATTATACTAACATACCACCTTTGGTAAGAATTTGACAGATTTCTTAATATTCTTGTAACTTTCCCTCTTTATTAATTATACACATTCACATTGTCGCAGTCATGTTGCTATAAAACACATTTGATTCAACGTTCACAAACAAAAACAAATCAGGAGACGGTTTGTAGGCACGGGCGTTTGGGTTTTGAGTCAAATAAAAACATCTTGACTTAACGATGAACTAAGTCTACAGGCAGTGTGAATGTCTTATGTCACTTTAACGTAATATAAAACCGAGAACATTTGAAAAAAGTCAATATTTTGAGTCTGAAACGGCATTTCTCTGACATTTCTTCATGAAAAGGACTCAAAGCGTAACTGATGCAGACAGATTGAGTCTTTTCTGGGAGAAAAGGTGGCAAAACCTTCAGAAAATTATATAAAATGATTTCATTTTTTCTGAAAATCTGCGAGATACCCTTCTGCATTTAAAACAAATCCACATTTAAGCAGCCTTTAATGACACAGTGCAAGAACACCTCCAGATTTCAGGCTTTTGTCTGCAGGTGTTTCAGTCATCGGATGGTGCGGTACATCATGAAGTCGACCGTGGTGCATCGTGGGAATTTCCCGATGGAGCTCTCCTCGACAGGTGTGTAGACTTTGATCTGTCTCATGTGTGTGTCTCGGCCGTTCTGATGGTTCGCCAGCACCGCGATCTGGATCATGAAGGTGCTGATCGGATCGTTCGTACGCTGAGACAAAACAAGAACAAATATGTTCGTTACAACGTCCTGTCATCTGGCTATAGGTTGGTAGGTGGGGAGGGAGGTTGGTAGGTAGGAAGGAAGGAAGGTAGGAAGGTAAGTAGGATGGTTGGTAGGTTAGTTGGTTGGTTGGTTGGTAGGTTGGTTGGTCGGTTAGTTGGTCAGTTGGTAGGTTGGTAGGTTGGTTGGTTGGTTGGTTGGTTAGTTGGTCGGTTGGTCGGTTGGTTGGTCGGTTAGTCAGTTGGTCGGTTGGTAGGTTGGTTGGTTGGTCGGTCAGTTGGTCGGTTGGTCGGTTAGGTGGTCAGTTGGTCGGTTGGTAGGTTAGTTGGTCAGTTGGTTGGTTAGTTGGTCAGTTGGTCGGTTGGTTGGTTGGTCGGTTAGTTGGTCAGTTGGTCGGTTAGTTGGTCGGTTGGTTGGTTGGTCGGTTAGTTGGTCAGTTGGTCGGTTAGTTGGTCGGTTGGTTGGTTGGTCGGTTAGTTGGTCAGTTGGTTGGTTAGTTGGTCAGTTGGTCGGTTAGTTGGTCAGTAGGTTGGTTAGTTGGTCGGTTGGTAGGTTGGTCGGTTAGTTGGTCAGTTGGTCGGTTAGTTGGTCAGTTGGTCGGTTGGTAGGTTGGTTGGTTGGTCGGTTGGTTGGTCAGTTGGTTGGTTAGTTGGTCGGTTGGTAGGTTGGTAGGTTGGTTGGTCGGTCAGTTGGTCGGTTAGTTGGTCGGTTGGTAGGTTGGTTGGTTGGTCGGTCAGTTGGTTGGTTAGTTGGTCAGTAGGTTGGTTAGTTGGTTGGTAGGTTGGTAGGTAAGTAGGAAAGATGGAAGGAAGGAAGGTTGGTTGGTTGGTAGGTAAGAAGGTTAGTTGGTCAGTTGGTCGGTTAGTTGGTCGGTTGGTTGGTTGGTCGGTTAGTTGGTCAGTAGGTTGGTTAGTTGGTTGGTAGGTAAGTAGGAAAGATGGAAGGGAGGAAGGTTGGTTGGTTGGTTGTTAGGGTGGTTGGTTGGTTGGTAGGAAGGTAAGTAGGAAAGATGGAAGGTAGGTAGGAGGGTTGGTAGGTAGGGTGGTTGGTTAGTTGTTAGGGTGGTTGGTTAGTGGTTGGTTAGTGGTTGGTTGGTTAGTTGGTAGGAAGGAAGGAAGGAAGAAAGGTTGTTTGGTTGGTTGGTAGGTAGGAAAGAAGGTCAGTCGGTCGGTGGGTAGAAATATTGAATAAACTGAGTATTTTGACATATAGTATTATTATTAATAATACGAGTTCCTCGCCTGGTTCATCAGAGTGATGTGGATCCAGCCGCTGGGCTCCACCATCTCCAACTGCTGCAGAGAGGAGGGGACTATATGAATCATTGAAATAATCACTGATGATTTGATACTAATGTTGTTATGAGGAGTTGTTACCCTGATCTCTTGCAGGTTGTGGAAGTTGTTCCCGACTCTGACTGAGATCTTGCTGGGCGTGTAGCTCTCGTCTGATTTGTAATCTGCGTAGATGCACAGCAGCTTCACCGTGGTCCTCCTCCTGAGCGGGTCACAACACGGAGGATTAGAGACATGAGGGGGGTAATATTCAGAGAAGGACACTCCTACTCAATTGGGGGGATTTATACTGTAGGAAGAATCTGATATCTTTTCGGATAAAAATAAATACATTCTGGGATTAAAGTCACAAATGTAAGAATAATCAATAAAGTGTGTCTGGAGTTATGAAACACCATTTTGGAGCTTATTTCTAGTCATTTTCATAAATGTGTGACTCCAGTCTCAGAAGATACTTTAGATATTTATGAAGTTAGAAATATTCTAGGAAATTTTTGTATTTATTTGAGTACAATTTAAAGAGTACCTGAACTGGATGTTGACGAGGTGAGGCTGAGAGCCGTCAGACTGCCAGTACGTCTCCAGGTTATCGTCTCTCAGCTGATCCACTCCGAACCCTGCAGAGGAGAGTAAACAAACAACATCTGTAAACAAACACTCAGAGAACAACATCTGTAAACAAACACTCAGAGAACCACATCTCATACTGATATACACCTGAACATCAGCAGGAGAGGACTCTTTAAAGTAGAGACACTACATACTGATATACACCTGAACATCAGCAGGAGAGGACTCTTTAAAGTAGAGACACTACATACTGATGTACACCTGAACATCAGCAGGAGAGGACTCTTTAAAGTAGAGACACTACATACTGATATACACCTGAACATCAGCAGGAGAGGACTCTTTAAAGTAGAGACACTACATACTGATATACACCTGAACATCAGCAGGAGAGGACTCTTTAAAGTAGAGACACTACATACTGATATACACCTGAACATCAGCAGGAGAGGACTCTTTAAAGTAGAGACACTACATACTGATGTACACCTGAACATCAGCAGGAGAGGACTCTTTAAAGTAGAGACACTACATACTGATATACACCTGAACATCAGCAGGAGAGGACTCTTTAAAGTAGAGACATTACATACTGATATACAGCTGAACATCAGCAGGAGAGGACTCTTTAAAGAGACACTACATACTGATATACACCTGAACATCAGCAGGAGAGGACTCTTTAAAGTAGAGACATTACATACTGATATACAGCTGAACATCAGCAGGATAGGACTTTTTAAGGTGGAGACATTACATACTGATATACAGCTGCACATCAGCAGGACTCTTTAAAGTAGAGACACTACATACTGATATACAGCTGCACATCAGCAGGAGAGGACTCTTTAAAGTAGAGACACTACATACTGATATACAGCTGCACATCAGCAGGACTCTTTAAAGTAGAGACACTACACACTGATATACACCTGAACATCAGCAGGACTCTTTAAAGTAGATACATTACATACTGATATACACCTGAACATCAGCAGGACTCTTTAAAGTAGATACATTACATACTGATATACAGCTGCACATCAGCAGGACTCTTTAAAGTAGAGACACTACATACTGATATACAGCTGCACATCAGCAGGAGAGGACTCTTTAAAGTAGAGACACTACATACTGATATACAGCTGCACATCAGCAGGACTCTTTAAAGTAGAGACACTACACACTGATATACACCTGAACATCAGCAGGACTCTTTAAAGTAGATACATTACATACTGATATACACCTGAACATCAGCAGGACTCTTTAAAGTAGATACATTACATACTGATATACAGCTGCACATCAGCAGGACTCTTTAAAGTAGATACATTACATACTGATATACACCTGAACATCAGCAGGACTCTTTAAAGTAGATACATTACATACTGATATACAGCTGAACATCAGCAGGACTCTTTAAAGTAGAGACACTACATATCTACATGTTGTATACACACACACTCTCACCAGGTTTACAGGAGGACAGCGACCACACCGCCTGGGATCCGATCTCTCGGACCATCCCGGTTCTCTC